TTCGAGAACTTTTGTTGAATAACCATTTGTTGTTGTTTTTGTTTGGTTTTCTTAATAAACTCATGGGTGTAACGAAAACGGCCGCATAATTTCCGCTCAACCTACTAATTTCAGAACTTTCAAGAAGAAAAGCAGAATGAAGTAGATCCATGTTAAATGTCAGAACGGTAATAATCTCCAACAATGGAGCGCTAAATCACAGAAACACTAAAAAGGCCATCGCAAACAGCAAGGAAGTGTTGTTGGATACAAATCAGATCATTAGTTGGTGCAGTGATGACCGCCTACGTGCCATGAAAAAAAACAGTAAAATTATTATCGAACTCACTTTTTGGATTCCATCTTTTTTCGCCTTTCCTCCTCTATCTTCTCAAATATTTTCTTCTTAACCAGCTCACGATCATTGTCGGACAACAAAGGATTCAGCAAAAATCGTGCCACTACATCTCGCAAGACCTCTGAAACATTTTTTGAATATGCAAATCTACCCGGAGGAGGAGACTTCAATTCAGAAACCAACTCGGATTCGAGGTTGCTTTGATGAAAACAAGAAGATCCGGTAGGGTGTCGATTTCCATCGGGTCTTTGACCGGCGCAGCCTTTGGCGGAGGTCTTGAAAAAAATGAATTATACAATAGAAATTCAACAACGTAGAAACGCATTTTTGGATCTCATTTAGTAAGGGGGTGGAGAGTGTGTGGCTCACTAGGACAGAAAGGTGCTAGGTGGGTTGGGGGACCACGCGGCGGCGCGGCACTCTGCTCACCTGGCGCTCTCTCGAGCGAGACAGTGTAAACTCGAACATTCCAGCTTTTCACGCATGTCAAGTGACTGCCCTCACCCCCCACCCCCTAGACTGCCTACACTCCCCCTGGCTCCACGGATTTCCGAACATGCCAGGCGAGCAGACTGCCGCGCCGCCGCGTGGTCCCCCCCCAACCCACATGGCGCCGCGACTTTTTCCTTTTCGCAGCGCCAAACATTTTCCGCTGTAGGAACTGCAGGTCCACTCGTGATCAGCGGTGGACCTGAGGTTCCCGCAGCGAAAAATGTTTCGCGTGCGAAAAGCGAAAAGTCGCTTTCTGCTTAGCGAACCATTCCCTGATGGGGTGTGGTTCACTAGGACAGAAAGCGACTTTTTCGCGTTTCGCAGCGCGAAACATTTTCGCTGCGGGAACCTCGGGTCCACTGATGATCAGCGGTGGACCTGAGGTTCCCGCAGCGAAAATGTTTCGCGCTGCGAAACGCGAAAAAGTCGCTTTCTGTCCTAGTGAACCACACCCCCGCAGTTGCCGCCTATCTGCGCCCTCTCGCCGATATAGTGCGGTACAAAGAATCCATGTTGCGAGAATTATGTAGAAGATGTACGAGTCACCATGGGCCGTGAAAGGTTAAAATGTAGGTGCTAGCGTAGTTGAGGGGGGGGGGGCATGCGGCGAGGCGCTCTGTTCATCTGCTCCTCCACGCGAATTTGAAATTATTGAGTCTCCTCCGCCCTCTATCTTTGCAAAAGGATAACACTTTTATATAGGGTCTGTTTACCGAAGTGGAGGGGGAAGGATAGTCGGTGCCGTAGCATCCCGCCAGTAGTCCCAAGTAAGCGCAAGCGAAATGGTAATGATTCAGACTCAACGGAGACCTTTCTCTGCAAAAGTTGGACTATACTGTAGCCGCCATGATGTGCTGCATGAAGATGTCCCTTACCCCTACATTGCTGGAATAGCACCAAGCTGCTACCAGAAACGTTCTTGGCGTGTGTACAAGCGAATGTGTGATATAAGGAAGAATCGATTTTCCTAGTTGAAATTCTGGACAAAATTGAAGAAGAACAGCGTGAAGGGTACCGATTTTTGTGTTGTTTGTGTTTTTTATTCGGCACTTTGAACTTTCCGGCGCACGGGTCTGTGACAGTGACTATGGGCCAAATGGGTGACCTGTTAAACATGAGCTTCTTCAAACTCTTTTTGGGCAAGCCTAAATCGAAAAACTCACTTTGAGGAGCTGGAACCGCGGTTTTGCAGTCGCGCACGTTTGGACTTTTTTATAGCAGCAAACACAGCAGACAATCTTTCAGAAAGCGATTGCTGTGGTGGATCCATTATCTGTAAGACTGAACTGTTAGAGAGGAGAAACAACCGTTGTAACACGGAAAGGCAGAGAATAATTCTCGGGCGACGAACTTACAGGGGGGTCTTTCAGGACAAGGAGCGTTTTTCCGAAATGGTTTTCTGAATTTTGTAGAGACTCATGTGAGGAACACAGAACCATGATCCATTTTTCCTGAACGCTCCAGGAATGTCAAAACAGCGGG